CTGTCTGACCTTGGCTGTAATGGAAATCATCTATTCCTGTCCTGCGTCCTGCCTCCTAGCGGATTCTGATCCATAATAATGCTCTGTCTCTCACCATGTGACAACTCTATCTCTTTAAAAGCTGATAGGGGTCTTGCAGAAAGCCTTTCCAAAAGTCCAGCTAAATCAGGTCAAATACTTCTCCTTTATGGGCATGCTCAAAGGATTCTAAGAGATTAATCAGATGTGGTTTTCCTGTGCAGAAGCCCTGGTGGCTAGCTGCAGCCAGGCCTTTACACTTTACTCCTGCAAGATACTCCATTGGTTTCAATAGGCCTGCTCACACACCTCCCACAAAGCACCCAGCCTCCACCTCTGATCTTGCAAGTCGATCCTAGCACTAGCTCCCTCCTTCTGACTGCATGGTGCCCCACTGACTCTCCCAGGTGTAGGGATCTGCTTCCAGACCTCCATTAGCTGTGCAGGAGTAGCTGGCTGTTATTCTCATGAGGGACATAAAATCACAGCACTCTGATGATGACATGACAGTTACATAATTACAGGGTGCTACCAGTCACTTAACATTGCTTCCAGCTGCTGGGGGATGTGGCATGTTATTTTGCTGCTCTGAATTGTTTCAGATTTTCAATCTCTATACCCTCCAGGCCCTGCCCCCATCTTTGGGAGACAATTAGAGCAGGAGAGAAATGGGCTTTATCATCTGACAGCTCTCATTCCCCTGCTTTACCTGTGGCAGCTTAGGGTATTCTTGGTGTCTTTGGGCCATGTGCCATGTAGTTGTGTGACAGGGCTGACTGTGTAGTTTTAGCAATAGGTTAAACCGAGGCTGTTCAGCTTCCAAGTGGCTGGGGGTTGGCTTCTGACATGGGCCAGCTCAGCAAGGGCTGCACACCCCAGGGGCAGCACTAGTACAAGCCACAGGCGTCCAGGCCTCACTCTCTCCTGCTGCACCATGTGGGTTGGTAGCCCCTGCTTCATCCCCCATACTGCATTGTGCCACCTGACCCTCCTGGGCTGAAGCAGGAAGCAAAAGTTTAGGGAGGGAGGGGACCCCAGCTGCAGCAGCTATCAGAATGATAAGAGGAGTGGCAGCTGGGTAAAGCCTGGGGATGCACATTATCCCTTTGTGATCGGTTGGACAGCTCTGGGTTAGATGAGTACTTGTATGGGATGATTTGGATAGGGATGATCCTGCCTTGAGCAGAGGGTTGGACTAGATGACCTCCGGAAGTCCCTTCCAGAATGAATTTTCTATGCGTGTATGATCTCAGGTCTGTGGTTTCCTGTGGTACCTGGGTCACAGCAGCAGCCTCCTGCTATGAGGTTGAACAGGCTGAGATGAAAAGCTTCCTTGTCAAATCCAGTCAGCTGTTTTATTTCCACTCACCCCCTCTCCACTTCCCTACCCAAATATATTTCAGCTGCCTGATGTCTTCACTCTGGGCAGGGGGTGGGGAGAGGCAAACCTTTCCGGTCTAGCAAGTGGCTTCCTGAGTAGGCTCCCTGTGAGATGAAAGCACAGGCTGCCTTCTGAAAAGCACAAAGACAAGAGGGTCAGCAAAGGGTAGGGTGGTTTAGGAAGAACTGCTGTACAGTTAAAGCCCTAGACTAAGTTACAAGAAGCCTGAATTCAATGCTTGGCTCTGCTGCTGACTCCCCATGTGCCCTTGGTCAAGTCCTTATGCTTTTCTCACAGGGATTAAGAATACTTCCACCCTCCTGAAGCAGGGACTGTGCATGTACAGTGCCTCGTGCTGTGGGGGCCCTCATCTCTACAGGATGCTTCTATAACATAGCTAACAATCTTCCATGTGAAAAGAGAGGGTAGCCTCACTGGCCCTTTACAAAAGCCTCTGTTTCATGTGAATCAAGTGGCCCGTTGTAATGTATCACACGCTTTGCCTTTGAAACTCTTGCTGTGTGAGATCTCTGGGTGAACTAAACCCAGGGCCTCTGCTTTTAAAAGCTTAGACATGCAAGCGGGTGAGTGTTGTACCTGTGAGAGCAGCTAAAACAAATGCAGTAATAGCAACACTATAGCCAGCCGTGTGACAGCCCATTTCAACCTGGAGAGCCCACAGTGCTTTAAAGCTTCATAAGCATGTTTGACTACTTTGACTGTCCTTCTTTGCAAATAGATAAACTGAGGCACAAAGAGATGTAAGAAATTTGCCCACAGCCACACAGGGAGCCAGGACAAGCTGGAAATAGAACCCCAGAGTCTCCGTCTGAGTCTCTGATTCCCAAAGCACATTTTCCCATGTCTACAAGCAGAACCCACACCCCAAATTCCAGTTTCCTGCTCTCATCACCAGTCCACGCTCCCTTCCCAGAGATAAAGAAAGAACCCAGGTGTCCTGAATTCGGAGCTGATAGGGCAGAAGCTCTAGCGCCATTGCCTCTCTCCCATGCTGGGCCTGTGCGTAAAACAGCAGGTCAGCCAGTCGTCTCTCCCTTGCAAAATCATTTTGATTCAGAGCTTAATTGGCAACTGTCTGGACAAAACCCAGCTCGGGGCTTGAAATGTCAGTGACTTCATCTGAAACCAAGCTCCCCAGCTCCTCCCTCCTCCTGCCCCAGGGGGGATGTGGTCGTGATTCCACTTGCTCTCTGCTGACAAACAGGGCTCTGAGCAGGCTGCAGGACAGCTGGGTGCGTAGGTGTCTGAAGAGCTGCCTGGAAACAGCAGATGCCAGTGTGTGGGGAGCACGGAGAAGCAGCGAAGAGAGGAGGCAGGAGAGCCTGTGCTGGCAAAGCCATGTTTCTAACCACTGGCTTCCATTTTGTGAGTGCCCAGGAAGACCAGGGAGCTAACATGACCCCAGTCACCCACAGGAATACAAGCAGAACTTGTCTGTTAAAACAAAAGCACCTGTATTCACTTCCATGCACTGGGAGGGAGTGTGATTTAGTGATGAGGATAGGGGAGGAGGCTGCAGAACTCCTGGCTTCCATTTCTTTGTCCCACTGCTTCCGATTGCAGTGCCTCAGTTTCCCTGTCTGTCTTTCCATTTAGTGATGAGGATAGGGGAACTCCTGGCTTCCATTTCTTTGTCCCACTGCTTCCCACTGCAGTGCCTCAGTTTCCCTGTCTGTGAATTAAGGCTCTTCGTATAGGCCCACCTCAGTCTGCAGTTTCATTCTCTAATGACCATGAAGAACTTTGCTTACCAGCTTGGGAGGCTGTCATATCTGCACACAGATGACATTTGTTCCTTGGTCTCTATGATACAGTGCATGGTAGATTTCTTCCTGCAAGGGAATCTCAGCACAGACTCCACAGTGGTTATGACCATGATGGGCATGTGAGGAGGAGGGGGTGTGGGGCCAGTGACCCTCAGAGAGTATGTAACCTCATGAAGACTGAATCACTAGGACAGCTATGGCAGTGGGTAGGGACAGGTCCGCATTGTGCTAGGCACTGGACAAGCACGCTATGAGAGCCAGCACTTGTCCTACAGGGGCAGAAGGAGACACAGGGGTAGCTCACTCTCAGAACACTTTCCCCCAGTAGGGTGCCATGGAGGTGAGGCTTACTGTGTCCATTATACAGAATGGGAACTTGATTTACTTAAGGTCATGCAGGAAGCCATGGCAGAGCCAGAGCCAAACCCTAGCCTCCTGTATCCCAGTCCAGTGACGCACTAACTGCCTGTCTGCCTGCCCAGCCAAAGGCCATTTGGCAGGCTTGGACAGGCAACCTGGATCTCCTGTGACCAGGTGCATATGCCCAACTACACAGCTGCTCCTCCCTGCCACCCCTCAGTCAGGGCGCCCCCAGTAGGCACAGCTGTTCTGTCTCCCGCTCCCTCCTTGGTCTCTCCCCTGCTCTGTGCCCCTGGCTGTAATGTTGATTCATAGATTCATAGATGTTAGGGTCGGAAGGGACCTCAACAGATCATCGAGTCCGACCCCCTGCATAGGCAGGA